AATTTCAATCACAAATTTCTAGAGAAATCTTGATACGATTATGTCTTAATGAGATAAAAGATACAATTAATTCATATGATTTTTTAAAGATATATATGAGTAATTCTATAATCAGTTCGGATAGAAAAAATGCGTATTTTGTCTTTTCCTGAAATTTTTCTTCTACTTTTCTTATAATATTAAAAATAAAAATGTCAATTCTGCTCAGGAAATTTATAACAGATAATAAAAAGCAATAGCAATAAGATGCATAATTATAATTCTGTGTAATTAGAAGTGCTATTTGATTGCGAATAGCTTTGCATAAATGTTTCATAGAATGACTTCGATCTCGACGATCTTTTGCCGATTGTTGGTGAGTTTGGTCGTTATCAGAAGCAGTTGCTTTGGTTGATCTGCTTGCCGGCGTGTTTACCGTGCGGTTTTTGCGCCTTTAATCAATTATTCATGGCAGACACACCGTTGCATTGGTGCAAAGTGCCAGGTTTGGAAAACATGGACATTGCTCGCAGAAAACGCATCGCCATTCCTGCGAGCCAGGTGCGCTATGAGAAAAAACACGATATCGAGGTTGATGCTTATGCAACACTGCTTTTGTAGGTCGATTCATAAAAACGCCCATTACATGTTCATACATTTCTCGTTTCTTTATCTGCTGCACGTGTTGTATCTTCTTATTTAGCGTTAGATATGATAGCGCTAGTTATTCATGTATGCAAACACATTTTCTTATCTTTTAATATTGCGTTCGTGACTTATCTTCTTCTCTGTACACATGTATAATTCATTGATTAATCGCAATGTAATTTAGTTGCAAATTGAATTTTGTTTAATTGGTACTTAGCAATTTATACAAGCTAATTTTATAGTTCGCTTTTACTTTGGGTGTATTTTATTTTATGCTTATACTACTTGAAAACATCATTTGTCCTCGTTTAATATTTGACAGACAACAAGGATAAATTGATGCGTACAGCGTGTGAGTGTAGACCGCATCCCTTGATTGCGCCAGGAGCAATTGGAAAAGTCAATTCTTGTAAGCACAACGTTTGTACATATATGAGATTTTGTAGTAACCTAAAATAGAATGCGTTAATCCTGGAGGCAAGACTGCTATTTGTTTCGATCAGATGTAGCCCGGTAGGATCGATTCTGTCTTACAATTCGTAGCAAATACATTATTCATGTGATATCGCATAATCAGATGTTAAAAGATGTTATGTAAAAGCAGGACGACAATGAGACATATAGCCAGTGCATGAGATATGATATCGACTGGACAACGATGGAGAATTACTCTATCGTGGCGACATATTTGCCTAACGCGTCATGGTCTGTCAAGCCCTGCGATCACGGCTGGGAATATGAAACTTCAGAGATAACATCGTCCATCGTCATTGATGTACGTTTGTCTAATTGTACGGAAAAAATAATTAGTACAGCTTATCGTACATTGCAGCGAATCTGCAACGAAATTAATTTATGAATTAATTCATTTATTAGTACATTAAATTTTTAGAAGTGAACTAAGTTTTAAAACTTTAAACTTTTGGTACACAATTTTATTCGTTTCTGAAAAGAAAATTTGATTATGAATGTATGATTCTTTACGAATATACGTATAAGATATTACATTCGAAGAAATTAAAAAAATACAAGAATAAACTTTTTTTTAACAAAAGAAGCAAAATATTTTAGTTAGATGCTGTACTTTAGTTCATTAGAAAATCATGTTATAGTTTGATCTCGTGTGCGGTCGTGCGATCTATCCAACAATTGGTTTAGTAGTTCTTAATGCAGGAGGTCCTATAGGAGTGTATCTGTTTGGTACATTAAATGACAGGTAAATGATAATTCAGGAAATTTTTTTCCTAGAAATTTCACACTTATTGATTTCTTTTTAATTAAAAAGAAATTACATATTGTCTTTTTTATTTTTGTGGACAAATACGTAAAAATTAAAATTTTATTAAAAATTTTTCCTTTGTTTTCCTTTGTTTTCGTTTTTGCTTATCTTATACTTTATTTATCTTATACTTTATTTCATATCATATTGTACTGTGTAGAATTTTATTTTGTTAAGTAAAATAGACAATAAATTATCTTTCTTTACATGTAATAAATAGCAATTTGTTTATCTTGTTGGATAGAATTGGTCGGAAGTTATCATTCTTTACGTGTTTGGCGATATTAATAATCGGCGGCTTTCTAACGGCAATTTCGAATAATTTTTGGACTTGGGCTTTTACACGCTTTGTCGTTGGTTTGACAATACCAGCGATTTACCAGATACCTTTTATTATATGTGAGCATTTAAATGTTATAATCAGTTAGTTATCCTGAAATTAATTTATTATATTAAGATATCTTATCTAGTTCTATGTCGGCACTTGTAGTTGAGTTTAGGTTTTATTATAAATTTGTTTTTGTAGCTTTAGAGCTGGTCGGCCCAAATTACCGTTCATTCGTAACGGTTATGACTTGTACTTTCTATACTTTGGGTCTTTGCATGCTGGCAGGTGTCACTTATTTAATACGCGATTGGCGAACGCTCGCTATGACCACAAGTGTGCCTTTTTTAATATATTTCTTTTATTGGTGGTAAGTGAAATATTTACAAAAATCTTTTGTAAATATTTTATAAATATTGTCTGCTATCTTGGGGCATTGTACATAAAAAATAAAGTGTTAATTTTTAACTTAAAGACATATAGTAGACTTTCTGTTAAAATTGACATTTTTGCATACTTAGAAAGTCCACTATACGTCTTTAAGTCAAAATTAACAATTTACTTTTTACAGTGTATATACATGAAAACATTTATGTGAAAGATTAGAGATCTTATATAGGTTCTTACCGGAATCACCGCGATGGTTATTAGCGAAAGGTCGTCTAAGCGAGGCTAATGATATTCTTGAGATTTTGGCCCGTGTAAATGGCAAAGAACTTCCGATATCGTTCACGCAAAAACTCCATCAGCGTATGACGATGTCGAAATCGAACAGCGAGGAGGAGAGATTGCGAACTAGTCCTGGTGTGCTCTCGCTTTTTAAATTGCCAAATATGCGTCTCAAAACATGTCTTATTACTTTAAATTGGTAAGTTGAAATACACAAGCGCATTAATCATTTTATAATCAGTTGTCAGAAGCATAACAAATTCAATGAATTCCCTGCTTTTTTACTCGTGAAGTTTTCGCGACGTTTTCTTCTGGACTTTGGTTACTATATTAGACTTATTTCGAATAATTATTCTAAATTTTTAGAAAAAAGGAATATATCTTATTCAGATAAGTACTCTTATGCTCAATTTCTTCACTTCCAGATAAGTTGCGGATAATTTTATCCAAGAGATATCTCTTGGATAAAGTTATTTAGAGATGAAGAAATTGGACATTAGAAAGAAAAGGATGTATCTGTTTATCATACAATTTTTATATCTATAAGTACACGTTGAAAATTTTGATCTTTGTAAATAATGTCAATAAAAAAGCAATAATTCAAATTGATTATAAATTGTATGCGATAATTTGGTTCTAATTAGACTTGTCTCTAGATAAAATATCTTGAATATAGAAATTACACGATATTAAATATAGAGATTATACGAATGAATTTTTATTGCGATTAGGTTCGCCAATAATATGGTGTATGTTGGTCTTTCTTATTATGGTCCGACTTTGGGAAATGAAGAACATTTGAGTTTTCTGTTTTCTTCCCTTGCCGAGATTCCCAGTTACATCGCTTGTTGGGTTGTAATGGATCGATGGGGCCGTCGATGGCCGCTTTGCTTGTGCATGGTCATAGCTGGAGTGTCGTGCATTGCAACAGTGCTGTTATCATCCGGTACGCACTATTAGTCAATTAATTAATGACTCGATTAATTAGCAAGTGGTGATATAATCAGTTAATTATATAATGTATCATTGAATATCATATAATCGACCGATATCATTGAAAGCAATAAGTTTATTTATTAATCAAAATTGAAATACTAAAAATAAATTAAGATATTTTATAATTCGTATCTGTTTTATAATTATTATCTTTTTATTCAAGATGCTGTTATGGAGACTTTGATACTATTTCTCATATCAAAATCCGCGATATCAGCATCATTTTTAATTATTTATCCTTTCGCTGGAGAGCTCTATCCCACGCAGTTACGAGGAGTTGCCATTGGCTTCTCCGCATATATCAGCGGCCTTGGTCTTATCATTATACCTTTCGTAACATATCTTGTGAGTTGGAATTGATTTGAATTTTATTTCAATAATGTTTTCTTATTTCTTATTATTATTTTCCAGAAAATATACTTTTATAAAATTTACCAATAGTTTTTCAAATTTGTAATGTATTATTTAATAAATTTTAATTTATTATCTTATTAAATATCAAAGATAAATATAGACATTCATCTTTGGTTACAATTTATATTTTTGTAATATACCAAATATTTGCGAACATGATTCGCAGGGGAAAGAAAACCTTGTGTTGCCTTTAGTCATATTGGGAACAATCTCGGTAATTGGTGGCTTGTTCGGACTGCGACTACCGGAAACATTACATCATCGTCTACCACAAACGATTGAAGAAGGAGAATTATTTGGCAAAGATTGGACATGCGCGGATTGTATCCGTTGTGTTCCAGCAAAGTATGCACTTTTATTAATTGTCACTTATATTTTATTTCAGATAAAACATTAGAAAGCTATTTTAATTTAAAAAACAACAAATTTCCTCTTTTAAAATATCAATTAAATCGAAATAATATATAATAATTATATTATAATAATTATATTAATTTGTAAAAAAAATGAATAATTTAGAAGTTATATTTTGATGACATCTTCTGTACATTCTTGATATAATTTCTCTACTTTTTCTTCTGAAATTATAGACTTCTGATTTATTAAAATTTGTATTCTTTAGACCATCATCAATTGTGGCTTCTTACGAGGATTTGTCGACGCGAGAGACAGTAGAAATGCAGGAAGTATCCAAAGTATTGTTTACTTCATCCATTTTGGAAGAACATCAACGGCCAAGCACGACAAATATTCGCCGTTTGGTTCGCCAATCCAGCGTGATGGATACTCAACGCGATTCTGATGGAACTATGAAGATGACTTATTGGTTTTAGTTTTAGTCAAAACTCTTTGATCAAATGTTCTTCTAGTCAAAATAAAGTGGAACTTTTTCCAATTTTTTCTGTAATTGAATTAAATATTTTTTAATAATTTTGATTAAACAATTATATTCTATCTCTTTGTCGTTGTTTCATAAATTATTTGAGATATATATACTTATATATAAAAAAA